CTTGCAAGGGGCCATGACAGCACCTGCTGGATGTCTGGCTAGGTTACCGATATAGTCTGTGGCCATGCATGAAACAAAGCCAACTGACCCATGAAGGGTTCAATCCCATGATCCTGATCTCAATAGCGAGGCTCCAACCAACTGAGCTAATTACAGTGGAGTCAGATTCGACTCTGCTTACACGGAGACACTCTTAGCTGTTCATACAACATTCTTAAACGTGTTGTCCTAAGATACTATGACACAACACATTTGCCAAGTTTACTAATGATCTCATCTTTTTAAAATCTTAATGTAATGTAGCAAACAGATGTGTCCCTTAAGAGGATTAAGGTGGAAATTCATTAGTGCAGTAATACCAGTGGATTTGTGTTCTAAAACTAACACCAATCAATCAACTTAGTGCACATTCTATCTTAGCACTACTCAGCTTTGAGGGAAACACCAGAGGACTGAACAGCCAGATCTTCTCCCTCAGGGAAGTTATCAGAGAACAGAGGAGACAGTGAGAACCCCCATGTACTGAGAGCCTGACCTAAATCACCTGTAATCCACGTTGTTCAGACTGTAGTGTGCACAAAAATCACCAGGGCATCTTGGTGAAATGCATGTCCTGATTCAGCAGGTTGGGGGAGGCCTGAGAGTGTGCATTTCTAATATAGCCCAGGTGATACACAGCTCACACTTGGAGTAGCTAGATTCTAATCCTCACTGTAATCAGCTGTTTACAGATGGGATAGCTGAGGCAGCAAGGCAACCACAAAGACAAAGGTAGTGAAAAAGGAATGAACACAGTACACTCAAGGCTAATCCAATGAGAGGAGGCACGCTGAAACGTGGACAGGCTACCTGGAAGGAGAACATTCAGGACACAAAAGTGGAGTCCTTAAGAGCCTAGACCTGCTGTCACATGCCAACTCGGAACTTCTCACTTGTGTGACCAGGTGATTTCCTTCCAACCTTGGTCTCTCCTTCTATGAGTTGCAACAGTATTAGTACTTGGCCCTGGAATGGCCATGGGCTTGGTGAGCTGATGTCCCTCTAGGATGGTTCTCAGCTCAGGTAAATGCCTAGGACATGTCAGCTATTATAACTCCACTCTGTCCAGCTCACTCTGGGCAACAAAACATTTCCTGAATTAAATCATGAAGTAATAATTGTCATTTTAACATGTACACTAAAAAAGTCATCACTTTTTTGTAAAAATATTCTACAGTTCCAGTGTTGTCTATTAAAGTGAAAAAAGAATCTTTAGATCATTAAAGGCCAGTAGCATAAATCAATCCAAACACATTTTAAGCTTTAAAAGGTCTAAGATTCTATGAATGCTACTGCAGAGGTTCTTCTAAATTAGAACTCCTATAATTACCATTTTTCTTTTAAAATATTAAGCCAGAAACAAACATCTACTTTTGCAGCATTTGAAAACAAAACCTAAATGTCTTGCTTAGCCCAACCTAGAACATATAACCACCAAAATGAACATCTCCCCAATGAGAATATGGCACCTGATTTGAACTTTTTGTTAGAAAACTAACATTTATTTAATCATATTCCCTAGAACAGATGAAGGTTTTTTTAATAATGTATCACTTTAAGAAATAAAAAATGATGCAGCATAATAACCACAATCTCTTATTTTCACATGAGATGGCAATTTTGTTAAATGAACAACTTCAACTTCTAATGGAGTCAGCAGACGTGAACTAAATTAATACATCATTAAGTTAAGAAAAGATGTCCACACTCAAGTTTCAGCCAGGAAAGGCCTGACAGGTTGTCCAGTTCAAAGGTTGCCAGCACAGGAGAATCCCTAGGAGAACTTCAAAAATGAGGACCCTCTGAGGGGGCCTTCTCAGCGCTGCCTACACAGGTACATTTACTTTAAGAAGATTCACCCAACTGTACACTTAGACCCTGTACACTTTTTTGTATATGTGACCTACTTCAGCCAAAAGTTTACTCCCAGCCAGTCATGGTGGGTCACACCTATAATCCCAGAACTTTGGGAGGCCAAGGTGGGCAGATCACTTTGAGCTCAGGAGTTTAAGACCAGCCTGGGTAACAGGTTGAAACCCCATGTCTACAAAAAAATACAAAAATTAGCAAGGTGTGGTGGTGCACGCCTATAGTCCCAGCAACCCGGGAGGCTGAGGTGGGAGGGATCACCTGAGCCCAGGGAGGTCAAGGTTGCAGTGAGCCATGATCACACCACTGCACTCCAGCCTGGGTGACAAGAGTGAGACCCCATCACAAAAACAAAAAAAAAAAAAAAAAAATGAATCCCTCAGGGACTTGAATGTGCAGGCAAGCTGAGAGCACTCAGTGTCTGCCTGTCCCACGCTCACACTTCTCCCCTCTTTGTCCCACTGAGAATGCACTCTCTGCACAGAACTCCACTTCTGGGCTATCTCAGGCTCTGTAGGACCTGGAAGAAGCACACCCTGTGGCCCAAAAAGCCTCACTGGTGGCTGGGTCCTGGGATGATAGCTCACCCAGGTCAATGGACCCCCAATAGCTAATTCACAGCAGAGTTGATAACTACATGTTCCCACTTCTGACTGTGCACTCTGGGTCAGGCCAGGAATTCTGCCTCAAGGCTTTTCGTCACTTACAACATTCACCTGTCCCCAGGCCTAAAAGTGCTTGGCCCTCGAAGGTGACAGGGTGAACCCCTCCAGTTAATGGAAGACGCCCAGGAGGCATGGCTTCTGTCCACAGCCATATACCTGGTTCCCAGAACAGAACCACACCGATGCCCTGAGTCACACAAGGCTGGTTTGAATCTCAGTTCCCCACTTCTAGCACAAAAAGTGGGTTAGCCACTCTTCCTCACTTTCCTCATCTCTAAAATAGGGACAATCAAAGTCCCTACTTTATGGAACTGTGTAGTGTGAAGGGAAACCATGCACTGAGAGCCTGGGTGGGGCATACATTACATGCCAAGTGCTTGAAACTCCAGCTGTTTCTATCACAGGTGGATCATCCAATTTTAAGATTCTCTGACGGAAGCTAATATCATCTTAACAATATGAATGTATACCTAGGCACATAAGTGCCCTGGCTTCTGCTTTACAGAACCTCATCAATAAAGTCAGTTGCTCACTTTGCTGTACATGGGAAAAACAATGCCAGACATCTAAATACACTGCAGGGGTCTTGGGGCAAAAGATTCTGAGACTGAGGCTGGCTGGCCCCCAAAGCAAAAGTCAAGGGTCTCTGTAGAACTTCTTCTGGTTCTGTTCATTCCACAAGGAACACCTTAGAAAGTTCTGCAAGCCAGTGCAACTGCTCTTCTGGGGCTTCTAGTTGGGGGTGAGGAGAAGGGGGGCAGTGGAGGAGCATCAGGATTTTCTCCTACCAGACCAGGATCAAGACTATGGGGCTGTTCCATGGAAACATGAAAACATACTACAGCTCCCAGCTTGAAAGGTTAACCCATGTACATAGGGTTTGAAATCCAAAGAAACCACTTCAAGGTCACAGGGTCACAATTATGAGCCTTTGGTGGTTTCAGCAAAAGATCACTGTAATCAGAGACCGCAGTGGCCCGAATAATCATGATGTAGAAGAAGCTCTTCCAAAACTTTTCACTGAATCAACTAATTGAGAAGAATCAAATAATTTACAAAAGTGATTCTGATCAGCTGAATCCAGAATACATCACTCTGGATGATGATGACCCTCTGTCTCCCAATCACATGTGCTCTTGTGGCCAGAGAGGTTTCCACGACTGTATCTGTCCTGAACCAACCAGGAGAGAATGAGATGGAAATGCCCCATTTCTTATTCCTGAAAACGTTACTAATTAAGTAGAGGAGGAAAGCACTGATACACTAATAGAGAGGAAACTACCACTGCCAAAGTCCACCAGTTTCCTCACACAACCAACCTCCTCCTCTACTTGCAAAGCAGTTCAACATCATACAGAAATCCGAGGATTTCTTTTTTAAATCAATTTTGTTATTTGGGGTATCAACCCTTATCTCTTCCAAATATGTGTCAGTGTCGACCCTCAAGAAATAAATCATCTCCAAGCTTTGATATGAATCCTAGGCAGAAAACATACTGGGAAGGTAATTCTGCAAGCTGCATTCAATCTGTTTAAGTGAGAGGAAGGGTTTTCCTGGGTAACAAAATGATTAGCTTTCAATACCCAGCTCTTTGCAACAAATACTTTGCAAGAGGCCTATCCTCCTGCAAAAGGTTACCAAAAAAAAAACAAAAACCAACCTCTCTAACGGGTAGACTGAGAAGCCATTCTTCCCAGGGGACACTCATTTCGGGCTGCCAGGCTGAGGCTTTGTGAGCGCGCCGCCCCTCCGCGCCCCCGCCCCTCCTCCCACAGCGACTGCTCCAAGGTTCCCAAGGCCACCTGCTTCTCAGAAGAAAAGGGGGATACCCTGAGCGCTATCGCCGTGCGCGGCCGGCGTCCTCGGCGGCGTCTCAGGGGGAAGGAGGAGGCGGTGTCGCCGGGAAGCGTGCTTTGTCGCGAGGGTCGCGTGGCCGCCCGTAGCGACCCCAGAGGCCTGAGAGAGGTTTTGTCCCGGCCGTCGCTCAGAGCTCTCCTCCAAGAGACCTGAGTCTCGCGGCACCCCGCTTCTTCCCGCGTCCCGCTTGGTGCCTGCCCGAGGGCCGAGGCCGACAGCCCGCGTCCTAGCCCCACCCCGCCCACCCGGCCGAGCTAACGGCGCGGCTCCGGGAAGCTTTCTCCATCCCGCCTCGGGCTGGTACGGCACCTGCTCTGCCACGCCCGCCCCCGGCTCTGGCCGTTCCTTCCCGCCCGCCCCGGAGGGTCCTGCGCCAACCGGCGGGTGCCCTGAGCCCCTCTGTCCAACGGGGAGGGGGATTTGCCCTCGAGCGATGGTCCCCTGGGGCCGCGCCCAGCCCAGCCCAGCCCAGGGGGCCCGCGAAGCCCGGGGCCTCGGCGCCCCCACCGCGGCGCGCACCGCTGCACCGGGCTGCGTCCAGGGGGCCCAGCCCACCCCGCCGGGCAGTACCTTGTGCGGCGCCCGCAGCAGTCGATGGACCCCCGCCAGCTGGGTGCCGAGCGCGAGGTCCTCGCGGAACGTGAACAGCGGCGGCCGGCTGGGCTCGGGGAAGTTGGTGCTGTTGAAAGGGTCCGTGTCGTCCAAGAACTGCACCCGGCAAGCCAGCGTGGCCATGATGCATCCCTGCCGCGGGGGCGCGGGCCCCGGGGTTAGCGGGGCCGCGGGCCGGGACGCTCGGGTAGCTGCGCGCAGGGGAGGCCGCAGCCGCCGCTCGCTGGCTCGCGGGCTCGCAGGCTCCGGCGCGCCGGGCTGCAGCCCGGGCTCCGGCCGCTGGGGGCGGGGCGGGGGCGGGGCCGACGGGCCCCCTCCTTCTCCTCTTCCTCCGGCTCCTCCCCTCCTCCGGGTCCTCTAACCCCGGCCTGTCTGCCCCGACCGACGGGACCGCCGCCGGGAAAGTGCAAGAGAGACGGCTTGCTCGGCATCCGCAGCCCTGCGCCAAAGGCCGGCGGCGGCGGCGGGGCTGGGAGGCCCGGCGGCCGGACTCGAATGCACGTGCGCCGCGCGGCCCCGGGCCGAGCTGCACCCCCCTCGGAGCCTGGAGGAGCGAGGTGGCGGGTTGGGGGACGGGGAGACAGGCGGCCTTCTGACTTCTACCCCACCGGGAGAGGGCTTAAGCCTTTCCAGATGAAGGCGGCGGCGGCCGGCTCCTGCTGCCCAGATTTGGAATATCCCGGCAGGGCACCAGGAGAACAGGGAGCCGGCTCCAGCAGCAAGGCGGGTGGTGGCAGCAACCAGGAGCCCCACCTAAGGGTACGGGGAGGTTTCCCTTAGGAAAAGAAAGAAGCTAAGAAAGAGGAGGGTGCGCCAGGGAACCCAGGCCGCTTTTAGGCACAAGCCTAAAGACTAGAGGCGTGGGGGCTGCGAGGCTTCGCTGCGGTACTCCAGCGCCAGGCCTGGCCCCCGGGGCGCCCGGCGGGTGCTGGTTAAACCTCTGCATCACCACGGCCTCTCCCCAGTCAGGCCTTCAAAAGCCCTAACTGGACCTTGTGGGGCCGCGGGGGCTTGGGGAGGTGGGAGCCCTTCTGGCAAGGTCCCCGAATTGCGGAGAGCCGGGGATGCCCTGGTAACCGAGGGACTGGGAGGGAAGGTTTGCGTCCTGCCCGCCCCTGCCAGGCGGGAGCGGCGAGACTCGGCATTGCCTCCCACCGCTCTCCTCGCCGCTCACGGGCGACCCCCTTCGTTTCCAAGAAAAATTCACGGTTCTCCCCATTCCTAGACCAAGGCCAAGTTCCTGGTTCCTCCCTACTCATATAGATCGCCCTCAAAACACTCAGTCTCTCTTAACATCCGAGTCTTTCCAAGGCGACTCTATAACGCGTCTCTCTCCCTTTCCTCTGGTTTCAAGGGAAAAGAGACCCTTATCCCTACTTAGCAGCCTCACCCACATCTTTAACCTGTCCCTCTCCATGATCTCTTTCCCTGCCACACATGCACACTTATGCCTGGTCTTAAAATAATAATTCCACGACGCTTCTGCTCCTTCCAGACGAACTTCTAGCTCTACTTGCTTTGTTATTTAACTCTTTGAATGAATCCTCTAGACTAACCGTCCCCAATCTTTTTGGCACCAGGGACCGGTTTTGTGAAAGACGATTTTTCCATGGACAGTGGCGGGGGGGTGGGGAGCGTTGGGGGGAGGGAGGGCAGATGGTTTCAGAATGAAACTGTTCCACCTCAGATCATCAAGAATTAGATTCTCACACATGCGCGCTACCTAGATCCCTCGCATGCGCAGTTCACAATAGGGCTGTCGCTCCCATGAGAATCTAATGCCTCGGCTGATCTGACAGGAGGCGGAGCTCAGCGGTAATGCTCGCTCACCCGCCGCTCACCTCCTGCTGTGTGGCCCGGTTCCAACAGGCCACGGACCAGTACCGGCCTGCGGCCGCGGGGTTAGGAACCCCTGCTCTAGACTGGACCTACACCAACTTCCGCCATCTCCTCACGGCCAGAATACTAAACGCACAAATTCTTCCCCTCCGAGATGGGCCTCCTGCACTTCCATCTTCATGTCCACCTCCCTCCACACTGAAAGAGCCCTCCAGTCCTGGCCACCCCATTTCTTATCACTTTCCCAACCAGGATCCCAGCCCATCGTCTCAGGGGCCTCCTCTCCACACCCTTCTTTCAGTCCCACCTGTCCTTTGGGTACCTGGCTTGCTCCTGCCCCATCTACCAAGTGCCTGCTGCTAGTGGGACCACTCAGTGCCCCACTTCCTCCCCAAAGCCTCTCAGCCTCTTACTCCACTGATGCTGCTGCAAGCTTCTGCCACTTTCCTCCACCCAGAAATTAGTCAATAAGGAAAATAATGTCTCCAGAATGACTTCCAGCACCCTCTCCTCTTCATCTTTCATCTTATTTTCCATCTCCTTTCCATCTTCCATCTCCCACTTCTCAGAAGGTGACCAAAGTCCTACTTTTCCTCCCATTCAAGGCTCTGCCCCCACCTGGACCCCAGGTCCCTCTCATCCCACTTGCTCTTGCCCGGGGTTCTATCAGTGATCCACCCACTTCCACCTTCCTCCCCTGGCTCCTTACCCTGAGAAGTAGGGCCTGCTTCCTGATGTGCGACTCATGAAGCCACACAGGGCCCTACACTTTAAAGGGTCCCAAATTGGTTTAACGTTTAGCTGTTGTTGTCTTGAATTTTTTAAATATTTTTTTAAGGAGACCCGGCATTTTTGTTGTGCACTGGGCCCCATAAGTTATGTACTCAATCCAATGAGAATAAATGCTCAAGTGTTTTCCATCTTAAAAGCTGCATCTTTATGAAGCCCACTTCTCACTCTAGCTCCCTGGCTTATCTCATCATCACTTCCTAACCAATTTCTGAGAGAGAGCATATTCATTTTTCAGCATCCTCATCACCTTTTCTCCATACCCCATGACATCTGGAGGGCAACCCCTTCCTGCCATTCTAAGATCATCAATGCCAGCCTAATTTTCTTACCTGGAGGACACTTAGCCCTGCTACCCACTTTCTTGGCAGCATCTGTCACCATGGCACCATGGATGATTCTTTTCTCAGACTCTTATCCCCTCAGCTCAATAGCTCTACCCACTGACAGCTTCTTCTCAAGTCTTTCTGGGCTTCATCCTCCTCTTGGTCCTGTTCACATTTCTTCTAGATTTTCCTGGCTTCAACCCTCCTCAACCTGCATGCATATAGCATCCAACTCTATACTCACGGAGGAGTCCCTCTCCTCACTTCTAGGCTCTGATTTTCACTGGGCAACTCAACATCCCTATCCTAGTTATCACATCATACTCAATTACACATTCAACCCAACACCCCAACCTGGTTGCCCATCCAGAACCTCTTCTGCAAGGTTGTCGTCTGCCAGACTGCTTTACCTGCCTGTCTGCTGATTCCAATGCTCTCCAAGCCCTTGGAGCATAGAACACCACAGCTATGGTTACTGTTAATTTATTCTGTGTTGTCACTAAATAAAAAGCTCCTCTGGGACAACAACCATGCCATATTCAGCTCTATGCCTACCACAGAGAAGACACACAATAAATGTCTAATGAATGTGTGAACATCAAAGTCATTTTCATTTTTGACTCCTGCGTCTTGCAATTGGTCACTATGACTTGTTACTGAATCAGCCTCTAAAATATTTCTCAATTCTTCCCTTCTCTCTAGCCCTCACTTTCTTTTTTTTTTTTTTTTTTTTTTTGAGACGGAGTCTCGCTCTGTCACCCAGGCTGGAATGCAATGGCCGGATCTCAGCTCACTGCAAGCTCCACGTCACCGGTTTACGCCATTCTCCTGCCTCAACCTCCTGAGTAGCTGGGCGCCCGCCACCTCACCTGGCTAGTTTTTTGTATTTTTTAGTAGAGATGGGGTTTCACCGTGTTAGCCAGGATGGTCTCGATCTCCTGACCTCGTAATCCGCCTGTCTCAGCCTCCCAAAGTGCTGGGATTACATGCTTGAGCCACAGCGCCCGGCCTTTTTTTAAAATTTTTTTATGAGAGGGAGTCTCGCTCTGTCACCCAGGCTGGAGTGCAGTGGTGCGGTCTCGGCTCACTGCCAGCTTCTAGCCCTCACTTTCTATGCTAGTCTTCTGATGACTTCCCCAGACTTGCATTCTGCTTTTGGTCTTCCACTGGCTTCCCCAGAGCTAGTGATCATTCTACGATGTGTGTTTGACATGTCACACCACAGGGTAAAATCCTTACATTCCAAACCCTTTAGCACAACTCACAAAGCCCTCTAAGACCTACCTCAGTCCACCACTCCAGGCGTACGGTTGGTCATTCCCAGCTTCACGGCCTGCTTTCAAGTCATGCCAAACTTATTACTCTTTCCCAGACATGCTGAGCTTTTTCATGGTGAGCATCTCAACCTAGAATGTGCTTTCCCATCTAGTCAGCTGAACCCACTAATCTTTCAAATCTCATTTCTAATGTCAACTCTTCTGGAGAGCCATCTCCAACTCTACCCCAAACAAGGATTGTCTGTCTTCCTTCTGTGGTCTCAAATTATATATGCTCTTACTGTAGCACTTTTCATGTTACATTGTAAACTTATGCTTGTATATGCCTACTCCACTAACTCTAAGACTTTCAGGATTGGAATTTGCCTTACTGAATTTTAATCTGAAAACTTCAAGGATTGGCACCTAAAATGACTTTTCAATTATATAGACTATCCTTAATTTTTTAAGGATTTTTGCCTTGGCAAAAATTTACTAATTACTAATAATTTTTTCCTCTAACAGCCAATTTTTTCTCAGACTACTTTTTAAATTATTTCTTTTTAGTAATGTAATGATTTATCTTAATTTAAAAGGCTAAGAGTAATAAAAAGTTATAACAAGATATCAGAAACAGACATCTGATTCCAGTTTACGATACCCCCCATTAACATACACACTTTCCAGAGCCACTTGTTTCTAAATAATATGAGTACACTGCTATACTTTGACCTATCAATTTTAGATAATGCACTGATCTTCTATCACACTACCTGAGGATTTCAGCTTCTTTATAGTCCATTTCCTTTTCCAATATTGATTTGTCACAATTTTAGTCAAATTCTTATTCAGTGATTTTAAAATTTATGATGTTAATATTGTTCATATCTGTGCCAAGTTGTGTACATGATTACATGCCCTTTCTTGTACAACTTTTTGTTTTTCCTCAAGTTAATGTTTGCCTCAATTTTTTTCATTTGATTTTTTTCTTGAACAGCTGGCTAAATCATCTCATATCCTGCAACAGTCCTACAAATGCCTCTCTCAATATTGTCAA